GGTGGCGCTCCTCGCGGTGGCCATCGCCTTCCTGGTGCTGCGCAGAGCACTGCTGGGTCGGGCGTTCGACGACGGATACGGAGTGTGACGCATGCGTGGTGTGAGTGTGACGCACGGTGTGTGTGTGTGTAACACATGCACGGTGTGTGTGTGTGAGTGTGACACACGCACGGTGTGTGTGTGTGTGTGAGAGTGACGCACGCACGGTGTGTGTGTGTGTGAGAGTGACGCACGCACGGTGTGTGTGTGTGTGACGCATGCGTGGTGTGCGTGTGTGTGTGACGCATGCGTGGTGTGCGTGTGATGCATGCGTGGTGTGTGTGTGACGCATGCGTGGTGTGCGTGTGTGTGTGACGCACGCGTGGTGTGCGTGTGACGCATGCGTGGTGTGTGTGTGACGCATGCGTGGTGTGCGTGTGTGTGTGACGCATGCGTGGTGTGTGTGTGACACATGCGTGGTGTGCGTGTGTGTGTGACGCACGCACGATGTGTGTGTGCGTGACGCATGCGTGGTGTGCGTGTGTGCGTGACGCACGCGTGGTGTGCGTCTGTAACGCACGCACGGTGTGTGTGTGTGTGACGCATGCGTGGTGTGTGACGCATGCGTGGTGTGCGTGTGATGCATGCGTGGTGTGTGTGTGACGCATGCGTGGTGTGCGTGTGTGTGTGACGCATGCGTGGTGTGCGTGTGACGCATGCGTGGTGTGTGTGTGACGCATGCGTGGTGTGCGTGTGTGTGTGACGCATGCGTGGTGTGTGTGTGACACATGCGTGGTGTGCGTGTGTGTGTGACGCACGCACGATGTGTGTGTGCGTGACGCATGCGTGGTGTGCGTGTGTGCGTGACGCACGCGTGGTGTGCGTCTGTAACGCACGCACGGTGTGTGTGTGTGACGCACGCACGATGTGTGTGTGTGTAACGCACGCACGGTGTGTGTGTGTGTGACGCACGCACGGTGTGTGTGTGTGACCCACGGTGTGTGTGTGACCCACGGTGTGTGTGTAACGCAAGGTGTGTGTGTGACGCACGCACGGTGTGTGTGTGTGACGCACGCACGGTGTGTGTGGCGGTCGGTGTGTGTGACGCGCGCACGGTGTGTGTGTGACGCACGCACGGTGTGTGTGTGTGCGACGCACGCACGGTGTGTGTGTGTGCGACGCGCGCACGGTGTGTGTGTGTGTGACGCGCGCACGGTGTGTGTGTGTGACGCGCGCACGGTGTGTGTGTGTGTGACGCGCGCACGGTGTGTGTGTGACGCGCGCACGGGGTGTGTGTGACGCGCGCACGGTGTGTGTGTGACGCGCGCACGGTGTTTGTGTGTGACGCGCGCACGGTGTGTGTGTGTGACGCGCGCACGGTGTGTGTGTGTGACGCGCGCACGGTGTGTGTGTGTGACGCGCGCACGGTGTGTGTGTGTGACGCGCGCACGGTGTGTGTGTGTGACGCGCGCACGGTGTGTGTGTGTGACGCACAATGTGTGTGACGAGTCGTGTTAGAGAGTGTGTCTGTGTGCGTGTCTGTGTATGACTGTGTGTGTACGTGTGTATATGTGAATGATTATGATTATTGGTATCATGAAATCATTTCTGAATTATTCACGTAGCGAGCACTTCCACACACTTGTGTCTCAATAGAGACTCAGACCCTGAGACCCGGTCTCCCTGTGTCTCTAGACCCTGAGTCTCTATACCCTGAACACACAGTTTGCTTGAGGCTCTAGACCCTGAATATTTAGAGCCTGAGACCTGATCTCCCTGATTCTACAGACTCTTGAGACCCGGTTTCCCAGAGTCAGCAGACGCCGAGACCCGATCTCCCCGAGTCTCAGATCCCACTAATATTCCCCCCCCTCTCTGCATTCTTAATCGCGTATTTAATGACATCACCATGTACTGCTTGAGGCCCAATTACTATTTAAGTCTCAAAAGCAACAAAAGCTGTATAGACCGTCGGGGCGAGCGCTATTAGCGAGCGCCTCGGGGCCGTCCATAAATGACGTCACGCACCTAGGGGGGGTGGTCAGACATTTGTCACGATGTGTGACGAGGGGGGGTGGTTTGAGAAGTGTGACGTCACATCAAAATGCGCAACTTTAAATAAATATAGATAACACGTTCTACTTAATTAAATGGACTTTTTAATAAAAGTTTTCTCCTACAATGACAATAGTTTAAAGCGATTTGGAGCATGTTTTATATATTTTGGGGGGGGGGGGGGGCAGAGCTGTGACGTCATATTTGAGGGGGGGGTCTGACTTTTTGTGACGCCGTGACTAAGGGGGCGGGGGGGGGGTCAAAAATCGTCCAAAATCACGTGACGTCATTTATGGACGGCCCCTTACGCTTTATTTTTATTAACCCACCAGGCCCTCATTTAATGCCAAGTGGACCTTGGGGTGTAGGCCCACGAGCCGGCCTGTGAGTTCCCACGTCACGCGTGTACATTGTCCCGTGGATGGACTCGACCCTCTCGGGCATAGGAACGTGGAACTTCCATCGCTTGGGCGCGGCATCGCGCGCAACGCACGCGGCGGGAGTTGCCGTCCGCCACTTGGGTGGCAGCGTGGTGACTGTCACCACGGCGCTTGTGCCAGGCTAGGTGCACCTCGAGGCTATTCGGGTGAAGTAGAGGAGGCTGTCGCAGCTGGCAGGCGGTCACAGGACGGACCCAGGTGCCAGGCTAGGTGCAGCATGAGGAGATCACGGGATACACACAGGTGTCTATGGGTTGACTGCCGTACCAGGCTAGGTGCAGGAGGAGGTCACGGGACACACCCAGGTGTCTATGGGTTGACTGCCGTGCCAGGCTAGGTGCAGGGGCAGGAGGTCACGGGACAGACCCAGGTGCCTGTGTGGTGTTGTTTGTGCTGATCTCCACTCCCCCTCGTGGCTCGGCATGCTGTGAGGAAATCTGAATAAAGAAAAAAAAATAAACACAACCGTGCCATGCCCACCCCTGTTTTCTCCCACTGGCACAACCGTGCCGTGCCGTGCCACCCCTGTTCCCCCCACTGACACAACCGTGCCCGTGCCGTGCCGAGCCGTGCGGCTGTTTTTCCACAGCCGCCGATGTCACGCTATGGTGAATGAGCGTTCGACTGCGTGAGTGGGTGAAGAGTTGAGTGGTATGGGCCGTAGAAGAGGTGGAGCTGATGGGTGAGTGGCACGGGCTGGAGAAGAGGTGGAGCTGATGGGTGAGTGGTACGGGCTGGAGAAGAGGTGGAGCTGATGGGTGAGTGGCACGGGCTGGAGAGGAGGTGGAGCTGATGTGGTTACAGGAAGATGTGGAGCTGAGTGGACTTGCCGATAACCGCTACCAGCCATGTGAAAGTCGGCCCCTGTGGAGGAGGAGGAGGCTCGTGAAGGACGCTGCTACTGGGCAGTTGGAGACGGCGAACCTCCATGGAAAAGGAGGGCAAAGGAGCGACGCTCACAACAACGAGCGGGGCACCGGGCGGGTAAAACGCACAGTCGGGGTCATAGGTGGTACATCTGCAACAGTTCATCAACATTGCATACCTGTCGTGCCCTTACCTTATAACAACAGACTAATTCAGACCTCGTTGGTCACCCCGTGTCCCTTATGAATCTCAACGTTCATCCTACAAAAGGAGAAATATATATAGACTCTAGTTCTCTGTGCAAGAATACGGGTAAACCATATGGGTTGACAGATTGGTTCCATACTCTTTGGTTCCTTCGGTAAAGTCATGTAGGTATACAATAAAATAAAATAAATCACGACGTTTCGGGCGGGAAAGCATGCTTTCCCACCTGATGACGTGACTTTACCGAAAGAACCACAGAGTATGGATTCCTGCAGTCACGAAAGCTTCAAATAAAGATTGGTTCCAGTGAGGTCAAATTAGGCAAATTGTATTCCACCGAGGAGCATATCATAAATGTGTGTAATCTATGTGAAAGAAGACTCGGGCCTTTTTTTCTGTTAACCAAGGTAAGGTCTTTATTTCACGGAACGGGTCCACATCTTCATCCTCGCTCTCTCCAGCGACGTTCCCAACTCACCCACCCACTACCCACCCACTCACTACTCACCCACCCACTACCCACCTACTACCCACCCACACATCCACCCACTCATCAACCCGCTCTTTTGACCTCTTCCTGGCGTCGCACTCCGTCTCCACCGATCGTCGTCTTGTCTTATCCTCGCCTGGCCTAGCCATCCTACCTGAGGCTCAACCACCCGCCTGCCCACTCAACCACTCACTCAACCACCCACTCACCCAACCAACCACCCACTCACCCACCCAACCACCCACCCACCTCACCCAACCACCCACCCACCCACTCACCCAACCACCCACCGACTCACCCAACCACCCACCCACTCACCCACTCACCCACCCAACCACCCAACCACCCACTCACCCAACCACCCACCGACTCACCCAACCACCCACCCACCCACTCACCCAACCACCCACCCAACCACCCACCTACTCACCCACCCAACCATCCACTCACCCAACCACCCACCGACTCACCAAACCACCCACCCACTCACCCACCCACTCACCCAACCACCCACCCACTCACCCACCCACTCACCCAACCACCCACGCACTCACCTACCCACTCACCCAACCACCCACCCACTCGCCCAACCACCCACCCACTCGCCCAACCACCCACCCACTCACCCAACCACCCGCCCAACCCCCAGCCCACTCGTCCAACCACTCGCCCAACCACCCACCCAATCAACCAACCACCCATCCAGCCACCCACCCAACCACCCACTCACTCACTCACACACCCAACTAACCACTCACCCAACCACCCACACTCACCCAACCACCCACTTACCTTAATATTATGTTATTCCATATATGGCCATTGCCTCAATATTCACGAGGGAGCGGTGGTCAACGTCACGTAGATTCCCCCCCTCCCCGCTCATTCGCCCCGCCCCTAACCCCGCCCCGCCCCTAACCCCGCCCCTCGTCAAGCCCCGTCACCCGGATGTTGCTGCGCACGGCCCCATTCGTTCGCCGGCAAACCGGAAGCAGGAGGCGAGAGGAGTTGAAGGCAGCGGCGGCGGCGTCGGAGTCGTCTCCGAACAACACAAAACTACAAAGTTCCATCGCTCGCCATCCGCGTCCTTTAAACGCCAACCCGGACTCCGCGAGCCCCTCACGCCCTCTCCCACCCCCTCTTCCGTCTCGCCATGGCCTCGTATCGGGTGAGGGTTTCCTCCGTTGCTGTGTTGTTCCGAGGGTGTCTTGCGTGGTTTGTTCGCCCCAAACTTCGGCTTCGCTTCGACTGTTGCTATGGAGTCCGCGGCCGCCCCGAGGCTGTCTCCACTGATCGAGTGGTGGCGGACTGACTCCTGTACCTCCATCATCACCATCACCTCCACCACCATCACCTCCACCACCATCACAACCATCACCACAACAACAACCACCACCACGATCCCCAACCCCTACTAACCGTCACCATGACTACACCACGACTTTAACAACAACAACCACCACCACCGCTCTATTATCGCAACAACTTTCATCGTACGTACACTTTATATAATTGTTGTAAAGCGCATTGGAATAAGGCGCTGCTGTATATCAATCTTAAGATTTACGTTGTTACCCACTGCAGTGTTCCCTAACGCCACAGTCACGTTATGGTGTACTGTGTAGTGCAGTGCAGGCACTGTGTGTGCACTCTTTAGGTAAAGTCACGTAGGTAGAGAAATAAAATGAAAATAAAAAATATATCACGACGTTTCGATCGAAGCACAAGCGATCGTCCTAAGGCGAAACAAAATCCAGCGGTGGAACAGCGGCTGTGGTTCTATTGCTGGATTTTGTTTCGCCTGAGGACGATTAGCGATTGAAATGTGATATATTATTTATTTTACTTTTGCTACCTACGTGACTTTACCGAAAGAACCAAAGAGTATGTATGGATTCCTGCAGTCACGAAAGCTTCGAATCAAGAAGGTACTGTGTGTAGTCACAGGCACTGTGTGTAGTCCAGGACAATTGCCGCGTAGTACAGTTAAGGTATTGTGTAGTAGAGGCACTGTGTGTAGTACAGTCCATACACTGTAGTGCAGTCCATACACTGTAGTGCAGTGCAAGTATAGTGTAGTACAGTACGTGTACTGTGTGGTACAGTACAGGTTTTGTGAGGTAGCACATTCCTGCGGAGGGAGCTGGTAGGAACGTTGGGTTGCTCGGTCAATGGCCAGGGTCAACGACGGCGTGGTGTATTCCGCAAATATGGCCGACTGTGAGGGCGAGCACAAGCCGGCGTGAGTAGGTTAAACGTTGAGTTTTATAAGGGCACCACGGGGTGACCAGCCCCTCCCCACTCAGCCCCTCCCCACCCTGCCCTCTCCACCCAGCCCCACCCCTCCCAGCCCCACCCCACCCAGCCCCTCCCCACCCAGCCCCTCCCCACCCAGCCCCTCCCCACCCTCTCCACCCAGCCCCTCCCCACCCAGCCCCTCCCCTCTCCACCCAGCCCCACCCCTCCCATTTTTGGATGCACGACGGACGGACACAATAATCCCCTGTGGGCTGGTGGTTCCTACCAGTACTAGTATACTTTGTAGTACACTAGTACAGGTACTGTGTAATATAGTACATGTCCCGTGTATTACAGGTACTGTGCAGTACAGGTACTCTTTAGATCAGGTACTGTGTAGTGCAGAACAGTTACTCTGTAGTACAGGTACTCTGTAGTACAGGTACTGTGTAGTACAGTGTGTGGAGTAGAGTTAACATCTCACCGTGGTGACTAGGAGATGTTATCTCCCTCGCCTAGTATACAGGAGGTCGTGGGTTCGATCCTGACCATGACACCTGATTGGCCTACACCAGAAACAGTCTTCTTTAAAACACACACAACACCTAATAATATAATGTTATGCAAGAATGTGCAAAAATTTGATATTTAAAATAATTGATGTAGTGATTATCCGACGCTTTTGAAAATCCGGCACCCCCTTCCCCACCCAGAAGCTGCCGGATAATCTATGGTCTATCGTATAAATGTAAATTTTTTTTATTTTACACAGCTCTTTTTTCAGAAGCCACCTGGCCACAAATGATAGCTCAACAAAGTGGCTTACCATCATCACGTGGAATTTCATAGCAGCAGCCAAATTTCCTCTGAACGCACGACGTTGATTCTAAATGTGGAGGGGAAAAACTGGAGGACCCGGAGACAAATCCACGTGACCGTGGGGAGAGAGAGACGAAGACTCCAAATATACATCAGCAGGCGTCAAGGTCTGGATAAAACCCACAACCCCCTGTATACCAAGCGAGGTAGTTAATATCTCATAGCCACCATGGCGTCAGGGTCGGGATCGAATCCACGACCTCCTGTATACCAAGTGAGGTAGCTAACATCTCCTAGCCACCGTGGCGGGCATCAGGGTCAGAATCGAACCGACGACCTCCTGTATACCAGGCGAGGGAGTGAACATCTTGTCACCGTGGCACCCCAATTAGTTTATCGTTGTAGTTTATAGGGTATTTGAAACTGCTCGTACGTGAGTCGGACCACCCCTAGGTTGACTCGGCCCTAACTGAGCTGGGGTTATTGTTGTTATCAGGCGGCTGACTCGAAGCGGGAGGAGTTCCGTAGGTACCTGGAGAAGTCGGGCGTTCTGGACGCGCTCACGAAAGGTGCCGATTCACACTCAGAAACTCATTCACTCACATACCCAGAAACTCATTCAGTCACACACCCAGAAACTCATTCACTCACACACCGAGAGACTCATTCACTCACACACTGAGACGCATTCACTCACACACCTAGATACTCATTCAAATGCATAAACTCATTCACTCACACATCCAGAGACTCATTCACTCACACACCCAGAGACTCATTCACTCACACACCCAGAGACTCATTCACTCACACACTGAGACTCATTCACTCACACACCTAGAGACACATTCACTTATACACCTAGATGCACATTCACTTACATACCTAGAGACTCATTCACTTATACACTAAGAGATGAATGCACTTATACACTGAGAGACTCATTCACTTGCACACCTCGAGACTTTCACTTATACACCTAGACGCAGTCACACACACCTAGGGACTCATTCACTTATACACCTAGAGACACATTCACTTACACACCTAGAGACTCATGTTTTAAGTCTACGGGCAGTGCTGAGGCTCCAGGCAGTTCTGTCTACGGGCAGTACTGAGTCTATGGTGCAGTGTTGAGTCTACGGTACAGTGTTGCATCTGTGGTGCAGTGTTGAGTTTATGGGCGGTATTGAGTCTATGGGCAGTGTTAGTCAATGGCGATGTTTACTACACACCGCGGGCCAGGTACTAATTTGAGACCGAGCTGACCTAGGGAAGGCCCAGCACCGGAACCAGATAATCGTCACTGGTGTTGGCTGTGAGCGGGAATCGAACTCGGGTCGCCAGGTTCAGAGCACACTTATTCATATTTCCTTGTACACGCGCATTTGTCAAGCGTTGGCGGTGTGGATAGCGCACTGTACTTAGGAACCCGACGAACAGAGTTCAATTCACGCTCAAGGTTAATATCGGTAGGTCTGCCTAAGGTCAACTCGGCCTTAAAAGAGCACCTGGTGCATTGTGGGAACATCAGCACTGGGGAAACAAAGGCGGCCAGGTATGTGCAGTGGTGCCGGCCTTCATAGGCGGTGCTACTCACGAACAGCACTTGTCCCGACAGTCTGTTAAGGGCTATACGGGGGACCTTTGTCTTTGTATGTGTGTGCGCGTGTGCAGTGCTCGTTGGTCTGTACGAGGAGCCAGACAAACCCAACAATGCCCTGGAGTATCCTCAACCACGCCACTCAACCACGCCACTCCACGTTTAGAATGAACGTCACATGTTTATAGTATTTAGCTTCTGCTATCAATTTACACGTGATGGTGATGACAAGCGACCACTTCGGTGAGCAGCTATCATTTGTGATGGCCAGGTTGCGGCTGAACGAAGAGCTCCATAGGTCAGTGGGGCCTTACACCTAGTCAAATAAACATAGTTTAGTTTATCAAAGGCACCGTGAGCACCGACTGAACATTCGCATTCTCTTGGCCTAGGGGACCCTCCATTGGCAGCATCTCCTGTGTGTGTGCGTGTGCGTGACACGAGCGGTAGTGTAGCGATTAGTGCGCTGCGCTCTGAACCCGGTGACCCGAGTTCGATTCCAGCTCACGGCCACCACCAGTGACAATTGTTTGAACCGGTCCTGGGCCTCCCTTAGGTCGAGTCAGCCTCAAATGCGTACATCGTGTGGTGTATAAACATCGCCATTGGGGAGACAAAGATGGGCATGGTTGCTGTCTAACGACCCCCTCGTGTACCGTTCCTGCCTTCATAGGTGCTCGCTAACACCACTTGCCCCGACTGTTAAGGCTATACGGGGGACCTGTGATACGAGGGGGACCCATCGTGTGAGTCAGCGTCCCTTGCGTGTGATCCTAGGGGACCCCCCAGTGTCAGGACCCCCATGCGTGAGTGTGTGTGTGATTCTAGGGGACCCTAGGGGAGCCTAGGGAACCCTCCAGTGTTAGTATCCCCCCATGTGTGTTATCCTAAGAGAGCCTAGGGGGACCCCTCAGTGTCAACATCCCATGTGTGTGAGCCTCGTGGGGACCCTTCATTGTCAGTGTCCCCCCCCCCCGTGTGTCCGCTGAAAACAAACTCCCTACCTGCTCGCTGGTGCCGGATGGCAACGCTGTGGTGGATGTGAGCAATGCTATGGGGGGGGGAAGGCCAATTCCATAATTGGCTATACCTCTTCATGACGCTTGTAGCCACCACAGTGGCCAGATGGGCACTCTGGATGGGTGTGAGGGGTTCGTAACCCCTCCACCTTTCATTATTTACCACTAAACCAAATTAAAAATAAAGAACGACGTTTGTGCCGGAGGCCCTGGGGGGACAGGCATTTATGACGTCTGCTGGCCAAACCCATTTCGCGAAGCCTGGAGAGTGAATCTTTACCCTCGGGGTTCCTCCAGTAAAATGAAATAGCCATTGCGGGAGACCACTTGGAATGTACGAATGCTCACTCATCTGTCGGGAGCTGGACCGGTACCGCCTGGATCTCTGTGGTATTCAGGAGGTTCGGTGGACTGGCTCTGGCTCCTACCACTGAGGGGTGGACAGTCCTCTACTCGGGGCAGGAGACTGCCAAACAACACGGAGTGGCTCTTATAAACAAAAAAATTAAGGCGTGTGTGGGAGCGTGGCGGTGAGGTGTGAGAATTTGTAAGCCCTAACATGTAACAGGTGCAAGCTGAAGTGGCCCCTCGGGATAGTCATCCTGTTGGGTGACTTTAATGCCTGAGTGGGTCATGATCCTGGCACCTGGTCTGGAGTGATTGGAAGGCATGGGCCAGATCAGCCCATGGGCTTGTAATTACCAACATGATGTTCTGACATCGGTGCATCCACAACATCATGGATGCATGCTGGGTCCAAGCAAGAACATCTGCTGGACTATGTAGTGACTACAGCGGATGCGGGCCCATGTCCTTGAGACCAGGACCTACCGTGGAGCTGATCTGCCCACTGACCATCAGCTTGTCATCTGTAAGATGTGCCTGCCATTCTTCCACTCCAGTGGTGGGTGTATATCCAGAACCCGATTCAAACCCATAGTGGTTGGTGGGGCAGTTGTGGAGAGCGTGGAGAGTTTTCCGTATCTGGGCAGTATGCTCATGACTGGCTCGGTTTGAAAGCAGAGCTCTCCGAATCAATCGATCAGCATTATCTTTTCATCGTCTGCGTAACGCTGTGTGGAAGCTACCTGGTCTGTCGCTCCACATGAAGCTTCGGGTCTTTTCTGCCACGGTCATGCCCTTCTCTATTCTTACAAAATGTGGACCCCCCTAATGGAACATCTTTGCCGGTTAAAACATTTAGGCTGGCCTGCCTTTGATCCGTCCTGGGTTTAACCCGGCTGGATTTTCTGAAGAGCTCACAAATCCCATCGGTGAGCTCCGGCAAGCAAGGCTGCATTGGCTGGGTCATGTAGACCACATGCCCAGCCACCACATGCCTAAACAGCTTTTGTTCATGGTGCAAGAGGATGTGGAGCTGAGGGGACTTGCTGATGACTGGTACTAGCGGTGTCAAGATCGACCTCAGTGGAGGAGGCTCGTGAAGGACACTACTGGGCAGTTGGAGGCAGTCGCCCTCTAACAGCAACAGAGGGCAGAGGAGCGACGCTCACAACAATGAGCGGAGCGCCCAGTGGCTAAAACACAGCAAGTTGGCACAGTGGGGGGCACAGGTGGTGCATCGGCCAGTCATCTCAGTCATCTCAATCAGTCAACCCATGGCACCAAGATCTGTCCCATGACCTACCAGCAGGCATTCGACACTTCACGTGGCCTTAAAGTGCACATAGCCTGGCACAGGCACCATGGTTATGTTACTGCCACTTAGTGGCGAAGGTCGGTCATTGTTGTCGTTGAGTGATCCTTGACGTCGCCGCTCAGCTTCCTGAAGCAGCACCTGAGCTCTGCGGGCCCCGAGGGGGCCGATGTAGAGGCCCTGCGCCTCGAGGCCTCCGAACTGCGCCTCAAGTTGGACTCCCTGGCCGAAGAGAACCGGGAGCTCAAGGGCAAGGTGAGCAGCATCTTCGTGGTCACGACTATAATGATGCAATCGTTGATGATGATGATGTAATCATTAATGATGTATGGCAGAACCCCTCTTAAAGGTAATTGGTTCCAGGAAGCCGGTCGTTAGGCGAGTAAATGTTTCCACTTCAAAGCACAGCAGACACTGAATGTAAACAATGCCCCAACACCCATGAATGGACATCGCTGATTGGCCGAGGCCTGGTCAGACCACTTTGGAACTCGCCGATTGGCTGAAATTGACAGTCGTGTGCTCGTCATAAGTCGTCGTTAACAGGGGAATGGTCGGTAAGGGAACACATTGGGCTCTATGGAGGCCCATCGTTAAGCAATTAGTCGTTAACTACACTATACACTACTATACACTACACTACTATATTCTACACTATACGCTACACCACTATACGCTACACCATTATACGCTACACCACTATACGCTAAACCATTATACGCTACACCACTATACACCACCACTATACACTACACCACTATATGCTACGCAACTATAGACTGCTGCTGTATACTATACATTACAATATAAACTACTATATACTATTCTCCACATTGGGCGCTATGAACGCTCGTCGTTAAGCGATAGTTAACAGGGGTGGTCATTAAGAGGGGTTCTATTATTATTATTTATGATGATGACAATGTAATCATTATTCATATCAATTATAGTGATGTCGACAACAATGATGATGATGCCGATGTAATCATTAACGACAATGATGATGAAATCATTAACGATGTAATTGTCGCTGTCATTGAAACGCACGTGCAGAGAGAGAGGGGGGAGAGACTGGCTGATGATGGTGGTGGCTTGAGCTCTTCATCCAGCAATGGAGTGACCATGGCTGATGATGTTTATGATGATGATGTAGGCTCCGCCAATGACGATCTGGAAAATTACAATGGCCAATCATGCACAACACATGCGGTAAAACTGTTTTGTTTTACCAGGTAAGGCCCTACTGAGCTATGTAGCATTTTCAGAAGCGACCTGGCAATCACAAATTATGGCTCAACGAAGTGGCTGCCATCATTGTGCACGTGGACATTTATCGCAGTCACATACTCTAAAGGCGTGACGTTGATTCTGAATGTCGAGGTAAAACCGGAGGACCCGGAGAAAATCCACGACCACTGCGGGGAGATAATAGAGAGAGAGACCCAGACTCCAAACATACAGCAACAGGCATCATCAGGGTCAGGATCAAACCCATGACCTCCTGTATACAAGGCGAGGTAGTTAACATCTAGCCACCATGGCATTGGGGTTGGGATCGAACCCACGACCTCATGTATACCAGGCAAGGTAGTTAACATTTCCTATCCACCGTGGACGTCAGGGTTGGGATCAAACCCACGACCTCCTGCATTCCAGGCGAGGTAGTTAACATCTCCGAGCCACCGTGGCGTTGGGGTTTGGATTGGACCCACGACCTGATACCAGGCGAGGTAGTTCACATCTTCTAGCCACTGTGATGTCGAGGTCGGGATCGAACCCACGACCTCCTGATACCAGGCGAGGTAGTTAACATCTAGGACACCGTGGTGCACGCTACGCAGTGATGGCAGCTGCCGTTCACCTCTCAGGTAGTGGTGGCGGCTATGCGGCCGTGGGTGGTGCTGATGCCAGGCGAGGTGCATGCCCTGTGTGTGTGCGAGTGTGGGGGGGCAGCGGTAGTGTAGCAGTTAGCGTGCCGCTACGAAACCCGGTGACCCGAGTTCAGTTCCCGTTCACGGCCAACACCAGTGACAGCAGCGATTATCTGAACCCGGTGTTGGGCCCTCCCGGAGATCGACTCAGCCTCAAATTAGTACCTGATGCAGTGGTGGTGCGTCGTAAAAATTGCCACTGGGGGAGACAAAGGCAGCCGGGTGTGTGTTGTGCTGGCCACCCACCCCCTCGTGTACCTTCATAGGCGCTGCTACTACTCGCTATGAACAGCACTTGTCCCGACCGTCTGTTGAGGCTACCTGGGGGATCTTTGTCTTTGTTTCCACAGCTGGCTCGCTACGAAGCGGTGGCGGACGAGGGGCGCACGGAGTAGAGAGGGGGGGGGGGTGGAGGACGCAAGGCACTGGGGAATGCACACACAAACATAGACACACAGTCACGCACTCGCTCACACAGAGACACACACAGACACACACTAATACACACACACTCACACCTAGACACACACACACGTGCACGCACACACTCTCGCGCACACTCACACACGCACATCCACGTGGTTATGGGTATGCACATGAAACACTCCCTTTCCTCCCATGCTCGCTACTCTCACATTCCAACACATAGGCAAAGGTCCCCCATGTAGCCCGCAATTGCTGTTGGGGAAAGTACTGCTAGCGAGGGGAGCACCCACTAATACCCACCCAACCCAACACTTGGTCTAACACTCAATCTAACACCTACCTAACCTAACACCAAATCTAACACCCACCTAATCTAAGTCTATCACCCCATCTAAAACCCAGTCACACTTAGTCTAACACCACCTCCTGCCTGTCTTCTCCACCTGGGTTCCTTTGGTGTTACTGGGGTGGAGTCTTTGCCGTGACCGGGGTGGGTGGAGTTAGTGACTTGTGAGCGGGGTTAGTGGCTGGTGGGTGGAGTTGGTGGCTGATGGGTGGGGTTAGTGGTTGGTGGGCAGAGTTGATGGCTGAGGGGGGCGGAGTTAATGGCTGGGGGCGGGGGTGAGGGACTGATCATCGCACTGAGTTCACATTCTTTTTTTCAGTCCACCCTCTGTGCGACAACAAAGACAACAGTGCGGGAGAGAGGAGCAGAGATAATTATTTGTTGTTACAATCTCTGTCCCTGTTGTGGAGTGTTTCATTAAAGGAAGTGGTTTGTTTGAATAAGAGCCGTGGTGGATTCCTTTCGGGGGGGGGGGGCGGGGGGGGGGGGTGTTCGGGGGCAGAGATAATTCTAAACTACTGAACTATAAAATCTTATTTTAGCAGGTGAGGCCCACTGAGCTATGTAGCTCTTTTTCAGAAGCGACCTGGCCACCATTGATAGGTCAACGACATGGCTTATGTTGAAATGTATAGCAGCCAAATATAAACGCAAGTTTCTAAATCTGGAGGACCCGGAGAAAAAAAATCCACGCGACCAGGGAGAGAGACGCAAACTCTAAATATACAGCAGGCGTCAGGGTTGGGATTGAATCCACGACCTCCTGCATACCACGCAAGGGAGTTAACATCTGGCCACAGTGGCACCTGCAGGTGGGGGGGGGGGGTACAATAGGAGGACATTGCCTGACCCAACATGGTTCTAAACCAGTGGTTCTTAACCTTTTTGGAGGTACCGAACCCCACCAGTTTCATATGCGCATTCACCGAACCCTTATTACTTGTAAGAATAAAATATGATTTCTTCAAATTCAAAACATAGGTATATGTTTTACTGGTGCACAATCATATGAGTCGGGTGTGTGTCTTAACCTCCGCCGAACCCCTGAGACTGACTCACCGAACCCCTGGGGTTCGATCGAACCCAGGTTAAGAACTACTGTTCTAAACAATACATGTGTAGTGAGTCACTCAGAGTCACTAATCGTAGGAGGCACTCTATTTATTACAGCCGTCACAGGCGCAAGGGTTAACTACATTAAGGGCAGGACAGGTAACTGGCTGCCTGACTTTCAACGCCGAGAAGGTGAAGACGGTGACGAAGACTCCAGCCGCATGACGGTTCAACCCCGAACCCTCGCTCGGGGTCCTTTATACACCCAGCGTGGCCCCGCTCCGCCTTTGGCCACGCCTCCCTTTTAAAATCCACCAGAAGGTTCCCGGGCTTTACCACACGTACCCCCTCTATCCCCCTTGCCGCACGTCCCTCTCTCTGGCTCATCACATCCTCCTGGCAGACAGAGATGGATTTGTGCTGCACTTCCGATCCCCTTCTGTGCCAACAATCAGTGCTATGTGCCACAGTGGCACATTCCATGTCACTACATCATCCCCCCCTGTGAAAAAAAATCAGCCGTCCCGGCTGACATCCATATCTCGTGTAGCGGGACAACGAACACAACAATAGCAACCGTCATCCCACCCGCCAGTAGTATTAACGAGAACAATAAATAACCGGAACAATAAACAAAAAATAGCGAACACATGGGAATAAACCCGGCCCCCAGGAATATACAACACCCAACGACCGTCAGCGTGCTGCAGCCTGCGAGCACAGGAAGGACCTCAGTTCAACCGACAGCCATAGCCTGGCTCGCGTCTGCGACTACCTGCCAGATGGCGTTAAATAATAAATAGAATGGGAAGGGGTGGGTTATTTGAACCGAACAGTTTTTGAATGTGTCCTCGTCGCCGGGCCCCCAGGTGGGGCAAGATTGGGTTTTCTGGGGACCCCGGGGACGACTTGTAAATGGCCTAACGGGCGCGGCCCCTCCCGGGAAGAAGATGAAGGGGGAGAAGAACCGGGTGGCAGTCGTTCCGTCCTCACTGGCCCGCCTATGGACGACGCCGCTGGTGGTTCCACGGGTGTCAGGTGCTGGGATCCTGTAGGCGTAAGAATAGAGTCTCGGTGAGGCGCAACCTCCGTGACCGTATGCCCGGGCACGTCGGACACATCAGATACCCGGCCTTTAGGTAGTGGGGATGAAACGACCTCGCAAGGTGAGAAATAGGATTTCAGCCATGACGGGTGCACATACCAATGCCTGCGACCGACCTAGATCAGCATGCACTGCGGCCTCCTGACCTCAATCACCTCAACTGGGCCCTGCCATGGCTTATGCAATTTAGGGGATGTGCCCTGGGGCACCTGGGGTCAATGCAGCCATGCCTTGTCCCCAGGTTTCCATGGGTTTCCAGATCCCCGGAGCCTCACAAGCTTTTCATTTTTGGCCTGCGTTTTGCCGAATTCCCCCGAGACGCTTTCTGCGCTTCCGTCAATCGCTGGAGGGTAAGGTGCATGGGCATGGGCACAGCGACCTTTTTGCCTGGCCCCGTGTCTAACTGAGCCTCCATAGGGGGGTCGAATTCCCTCCCATACATGAGGAAAAAGGGGGAGAACCCAGTTGAGGCGTGAGGAGCCGTTCTGTACGCAGCGAGAACACCCGGAACGTGTAAATCCCAACCGGACTGCGCCTCGTTGACCTGTTGGCACAGCATGGACTGCTTCTTTGCAATCGCTCTACCATCTCGTCAGTCTGGGGATGGTAGGGTGACATCCGGATTTTTTTTAGTACCGAGGGAATCGCACACATCTTTTAATACTTTAGATGAAACATTCTGGTCCTAGACCGTAAGGAGATGTTCCAGGGCCCCCTTATCCAAAACATACCCATGCAGGAATGCATCCGTGATGGACGCAGCCGATTGATCTGGCAAACGCCATGCCACCAGCCACCGGGACAGGTACTCCACCCCGACGAGCAAAAATTAGTTTCCCCTCGGAGTGGTGGGAAATGGTCCAAGGATGTCGAGATCAAAGAGCTTCACCATTGGAACCTCATTTGCCAGTAAAAAATATGATAATTGTTTTTTTACCCTTCTATCTTTTTACTGGCAAATGAGGTTCCAATGGTGTAAATGCTTACCCCGAGCTATCGTACTTTGATGGTGCATTGTCTTTGAGTTGTGTGCCTTCTGGCGTCATTTGGTCCAACCCATGTGAGACTAGGCTCTAAGGAAAGCTGTCTCGGGTGTGGACCAATAAACTTTAAAGACAGTGCATATATTATCAGGGTTATGTTTTTTGTTTGCATTATGACTGCAGGTATTGTGGTCTATGCAAACATGACTCCTTGTAAAAAAGGTCTCAGTTTTGTTGCCAGATAGAAGGGTAAAAAACCAATTATATTTTTTACTGGCAAATGAGGTTCCAATGGTGTAAATGCTTACCCCGAGCTCTCATACTCTGATGGTGCATTGTTTTTGAGTTGTGTGCCTTTTGGCGTCATCTGGTCCAACCCATGTGAGACTAGGCTCTAAGGAAAGCTGTCTCGGGTGTGGACCAATCAACTTCAAGGACAGTGCATATATTATCAGAGTTATGTTTTTTGTTTGCATTATGGATTTCAGGTATTGTGGTCTATGCAAACATGACTCCTTGTAAAAAAGGTGTCAGTTTTGTTGCCAGATAGAAGGGTAAAAAAACAATTATATTTTTTACTGGCAAATGAGGTTCCAATGGTGTAAATGCTTACTCCGAGCTCTCATACTCTGATGGTACATTGTCTTTGAGTTGTGCGCCTTTTGGCGTCATCTGGTTCAACTCATGTGAGACTAGGCTCTAAGGAAAGCTGTCTCGGGTGTGGACCAATCAACTTCAAGGACTGCATATATTATCAGAGTTATGTTTTTTGTTTGCATTATGGCTGCAGGTATTGCGATCTATGCAAACATGACTCTTTGTAAAAAAGGTGTCAGTTTTGTTGCCAGATGGAAGGGTAAAAAAACAATTATCATCAAAGAGCTTGTTAACACAGGACACCTCGATGGACTGCAACGGTGGCCGGGCCTGCCTCAGTGGGGGCTTCCAGCGAGCGCACTCAACACAGTCCTTAAGAATATTATGGACATTCTCTGACATCCTGGGGCAAAATAAGTCGCGCTTTAGGGTTGATAAGGTTTTCTGCACCCCAAGGTGCATCGCACATGGACAGCCCGTGTAACTCTACCCCGCAGAGCAATCTGCATGACGATGCAGTAACGCTGCACCTCCACGTCCCACCTCATCAGCAGCCCATCACGGAGGACCACGAGGGACATTCTACCACCTGTCGCTCCGACGCGACACCGCAATTTTAAGAGGGAGGCATCCTCCATTTGGAGGCGTCCCCATTCAGTGTGCGTGAGACCAAGTGTGTTATCACAAGCAATGGTTCCTGTGGGTGGTGAAGTGTCAACCAATGCCAGGACGGTGCACGGCAGTCCTGCAACCGCAGGTTTACAACGGCCGGCACCCATCAAACACGCACACTGACTCTTTGGTGGCAATCGCGACAACGCATCCGCATTACAGTGGCGTGTACCCTTCCTATAGGTGACTGTAAATAAATAATCCTGCAAAATCTCCAACTATTGGGAGAGCTGGCCGGACGGCTTGTCAACTCGCAGCGCATATTGCGTACAACAAACTGCCTACCGTAAAGGTACGGACGGTATTGCTTTACAAAGTTTACAATTGCCAATAATTTGCGGTGCATCACATCCTACCTTCACCACCTGTGATAACACAGCG